TTTGAAATGATATTCATAGGTTTTGTATGCAGTTGTATTTTTTGTGGCTGTGCTTCATTTTCATAATGTCCTAGCTCTTCTCCAGGACACTGGTTCTCTGTATCTTTTTAGGAGTTTTGCTTCACAATTTTGAAGACCTGCGACCCACATGTTCAAGTTTGCGACTTCCTGTTAAATGGACTGAATCAAAATGCCAAATATTGCTAACACAATACTTTGCAAACAAACAGATAGACACACACACTTATGTTGCTACAAATTTCCATACAACTTGTGTGGATTACAGCTCTAAAGCAGCCATACGAGTAAGTTTGTTGCTGTTTTTTAATTTTTTACCATTGGGTATTCACGTGGAGACAAAATATTTTTCTGTTAAAGACACCAGCAGCAACGATTACTAATGGCTAATGAAGTGCTTGGCAAGGATATGTTCCACCCTAAGTGCCACGTGCGATCTTAACATTCACAGTTTGTTAGTTCTTATCGCTCAAGCCATTTTGGACATCTAAAATAATGTGAAACCAAGGAGGGAAAAAGCTTCTTTTACATGAGCAAAATGCAAGAGTAGTTCAGGGGTTGCTTTTGACGGTTCTCTAGGTTTGTGTCGATAAACTGCACAGGAATAGCTTGTTGGCTAATAGGTTAATTTTATGTAATGTTGCGCGTGCCTCAGTGTGTGTGCTTGTGCATTTCTGCAGCTTGGTGGTCGAAGGTGGCGCACACTGAGCTGCTAGAGGGGAAGTAAAGATGAGGGTGAAAAGGCGAAGCGACGAGCTTTCTCAGCAAGACATCGATGTCAGTGTATTCTTTATTTGAAGGAGGTTTATTTTAAGAACAGTGGCCACATAGTATTTGAATGGCCGGTAAAGCTGAATAAAATCAGCTGAAGACACAACTGTTTCTGGTCATGTGCAGGCAAAAATGCTCTGCTGAAATGATGGGCCTTTGCATTTCTTAATAATTGTCCTAGATGTGCTCTAAAAAATAAGCACCCAGTTATTTGTGCAGAAACCTTCACATTTACATGCTGTCTTCTTTGATTGTAACAATATTGATGTTCAGTACTTAGTGAATGGAGTGTCAGTGTCTCGGAAAATTTAAGTTTAAACCTGCTCCAGAGAGAGTAAATAGTAGGATGTGACTACCAGCTGATGAAGGTGAGAAAAGGCCACAACTTGTTTTTACGCATTCATTTAGATTCATAGGATCATTATTTCCTTGTTTCCTGTCAGCACTTCTAAAGATATATGACAAAATAAAAAAATAATATTTGACGAAAAGAAAGAGTTCCAGACTTTACACCGATGAGTAAAATGAAAATGATTGTAAACAAAGGCAGTAGACTGCGTGAAGAAAGACTTTTCCATCATTCATTTAACTTTGATGGGTTCACTGGCCTTAAGAGCTACGTTAACCGTGCAGGAAGCAGCGGGCCACCTTATCCCTGACAACCTAAACAAAGCAGCAGAGACCTGCCTCAGCCCCAGGCCAACCACACTACCTCATACCCCAGTAGAATGTGTAGGATCATCCCAGCAGCCTTTTTGTTGGCGGACTGTAGACACATTTACGCAAAGTCTCATGTTGACAATACTCCCTAATTTTACCCTCAAAGCTAAATGTAGAGTATACACAAATATAGCGAGACTACAAGTCAAATAATGCTAATTCTCCTCTGGAGGCTGTACAGATGGAAGTCATAAGTGCCTCATCAGATCATTCTATCGAGTACTTTTGCCGAAAACTGGATCATAGAAAGGAAGAAAAAGAAAAAGGGTTATTTTCTGTGGAGGCACAGTGGTTTTGGAGAGTTCGGATAGTATGCTCTTCAGTGGCGCTGTGAAGACTTGTGGTCTGCACAGACGTGGCAGCTGCAGTCGCGGTCGATACATCGTGTATGTTTTGGAAAGTAAATGCAGGATAATATGACTTGCCTTGTTTCTCGAGTTGCTCATCCAGAAAGAAGTGAGCAGCATTAGTGTGAACTTAATTGCAGACGGACTGCTGTTAAATAATCCCTCCTAAAGATGGCTCACACTGGATTTGGTAGTCTCCTCTGGTCCGGGCTGTGAGGGTGTTGTAATTACAAATGGCAGTAATCATCCTGCTTCGCCGTGTTCATCCCATGTAGTTATTACATGAATCACTTCTGTTAGAGGGCTTATGGGCTTTTGGGTCTTTTGTTGAGAAACTTAGGGCCTTTTTGTATTGATGTCTGTATAATCTCACATACTTAAAGACAGTGATGATTATTTAGGTATTTTTAGTGATTTTTCTATTCAAATTCCAAATAGAAATTGAATTGAACTGAAATGATAACTAAAAGGAAGAAATTATTCAAATGAACTGTGAAATGAGCAAACTATGGTAGATAATCAAATAATCAGAGATGCAAAAGACTGCAAAGTTCTTCTGAATTACGCAAAGTCCACCATAAGACACACAAAGATCAGAGTTTGATTCGGGATTGGTTTTTCGTTGTTTTGTGTCATTTTCAGCCTAGGTGTGTCAGACTTCAAGAGGAAGATTGGGGAATTTTTGGCGTGTCTGTGCTAATGCAGGGGCTTGTTGTTGTCTAATCTCTAGAAGACAAGCTAGTTGTTCACATCTCTTATTGTAACCTGTCTTACACATCCGCAAAACATCAGAGATGCATGTTTTTTAATCTTTGGGAAAGAAAATGAGAGTTCTGTATAAAGTCAGACACCACCAGACATAATGTGAGTGGCGGTAATCAGAGCTTTACATTGAATACTTTAAGCAGATGTCTTTTTCTAAGAGAAATACTTCAAAAAACAAAAAAAATCTGAAAAATCACCAAAACTGGAGCTCAGCTTGGTTGACTATTATCATTAGCGTTATGTGCAAATAAGACAATCAAACCAGCCGAAACAGACAAACGAAGACAAAAAAATCCTGGATGGAGCTCTTATTCAGTAGACAGAAAATATTTGGATTCAGAAAAAAAAAGGTTCTTTTGGTCTGTGGTTGTTGACTGTGGTCAGCAACAGAAGCCTGCAGCCGGGGCGTGGTGGAGTTTGGCAGTTGTACAAGCCAGGCCTGCATTTTAGATGTGGCCCGAGAGCCTGTTGGGAAACTGAAAGCCAGACTATGTATGTACTTAAAGGAAAAAAAAAAAAGGAAGGGAAAGGGGGGGAAAGACAGGGTGTGTGTTGCTGTTTGTAAGGAGGGTGTGGCTGCCGTTACGTGAGGAGGTGTATGTGTGTGTCATTGTGTCGTTCCAAGGTGGAGACTAGGGTTCCCCTTCCTGTGAGTTGTTGGAGCCTTGGCCAGACTGTGAATCTTGAATCCACACGGGAAAAACAACAAGAGAGGAGGGAGGGCCCCTATGTGTGTTTGTGTTAGTGAGTGTGTGTAGGGGGGGGGGATCTGCCACAAATATAAGGCTTAAAGCACAGTTTCGTCTACAATCTCATCTCACATGTGCTCGCTAAAAGAGACATTTATTTCAAGGCCCTTGAAGGTATTCCCGTGTGTATGAATTTGTCCGTGTGTGGACCGGTGGTGTCGGGTGGTGCAGCCACTGAAGTGAACCAGGCGGTATTAACTATTCAGGAGAGCAGGGTTTTCCTATGACAGCCTCCCTTGCTCCGCTGATTCCTGATTGACACCCTCATCGCTCATATTTGAGAGCATCATGGAAACACCTGTGCGTGTTTGAGGGCGGCCAACTCTTGTATGACTGATGGTCACGTCGGATAAAGTTTCCCCTTTGTCTTACTTTCCACGTTGATGGAGATGCTTGATATCGGCCTGAGTTCCTTGTGTAACAAGGTTACACTTGTCTGCTTGTACTTGCTTCCCTGTACAGACCAACAGGAACCCTTTGTACTCGTCGTTGTTGTAGATTTGTGGATACCTTGCTTGATCATTTTAAAATGTCATTTCTGGGTTCAAAAGTTTCCATGCAGTATGTATTTTTCCCTAATGGGTTACTAAGAAAACAGCAAATAAAAAATGATGAAAAAATTGGAAAAATTTGAAAGGATTTGACATAATTTTCTCCAATTTGTAAAAGATATCATGCGTCTGTATGCTACATCAGCTAACTGTTTCATGCTTCCATAATGTTATGGCCTTTTTGCTGTTTGTCTGTTTGGGGTATTTTATGTAATAACATTGTGGCTTTGTCCTAAAATAAAGTTCCTCTGAACAATAATTAAATATTCCGTTCAGATAAGATCCAAACAGGGGGTTTCTGAATTAATATGTTGTGAGTTATAAACCAATGACACACACAAAAACAGAAAATCATGTTTTTTCCCAGGTCTGAACATATGTGCAATTTAATCTGATGTGTTTGAACAGTGCACTGAGCAAAGATTCCCGTACAATTCTATTACCTGGGAAAGCCAGCCAAGCATATTTTGAAAACTTATTTACATATGTAAACGTTTTACAAGCCATTACAATAAAACTTCTCCTCTTGAAGCTGAATTCAGAGCTTCCATCAAACTCCTCACACCTCTCAAACATGAGTGTCAGTATAACGTACTCAGGCTGGATTAATATTGGATCACACAGCCCCGGGGTATGATCTGCTGCTCCGCTACTTTCAGCAACATTGACTATTTTCAGAGAGTGTATGCTGAAAAATAAAGCAGCTTCAGTTACTTTCTCTCACATGACCCCCCTCCGCTTCAGTTTAAGAGAAGGAAGACATTGTATTGGTGCGGTGTCATGGCGATTAGGATGCAGCCATTGCCCCAAACGAAGGGGCATCTCGTTTGTGCCATGTAGATGCTGCCCACACGATTTTTTTACTTTGACTAAACTGAATGATGAACTTGATCAATGATCAACTCAATGTATGCATCAACAGTTCAAATGGGAGTAGTTTAAAAGGTATAGGGTATATATGAGACTGTATTTTTTTTGTTCCTTTCTAGTGTCTGACCCATATTACACATCTGTTTTGTATGAATGTATAGCTTGCAGAATTTAAGTTTTTTTTGTCTTTTTTTTTGTCCATGCTATAGTTCCCTGAATGCGGCTTTTATGGGATTTATGACAAGATTTTGCTGTTCAAGCATGACACGTCCACCAACAACATCCTTCAGCTTGTTAAAGCTGCAAGTGACATTCAGGAGGGCGACATGGTGGAGGTGGTGCTCTCTGGTAAGTCTTTCATTTCTTTTGTCTTCCATTCTCTGCTGGCTCTGATGCTCCACCATGGCACGAAAATAGCCATATCAGAATCTAAATGGCCTTCCTTCTTCCCTCTTTGTCTCCATGATCAGTCGCCATCGGCTTATTTTTACCACAGACTCCATATTCCACAACCCCTAATCTCTTCTTTTATTATTTAACTGTACAGTCTTCACTGTTTCTGATCCAGATAGTCATGTGTCCAGTTACACAGTGTGATGGTATCTGGTAATAAAGTGTCACCTCATTGTGCCCCTGTTATCTTTTTTAGCGGCAGCCACGTTTGAAGATTTCCAGATTCGGCCCCACGCACTCAACGTTCACTCTTACCGGGCCCCGGCCTTCTGCGATCACTGCGGAGAGATGCTGTTTGGACTGGTCAGACAAGGACTGAAGTGTGACGGTGAGAAAGACCAAAAGATGAAGTGTGAATTAGAAAAAGTCACTTTGATGACATCTGGGAATTTAGCTGCCCATTAACTATGCTCTAGCTCCTCCAAAGTTCTGCTCACTGACTCTCTGATCTACGCCGCCCCCTGCAGGATGCGGACTTAACTACCACAAACGTTGTGCGTTCAGCATTCCCAACAACTGCAGCGGAGCCCGCAAACGCCGTCTGTCCACCACCTCTCTGAGCAGCAGCCAGTCCCTGCGTCTGTCCACCACTGAGTCGGTGTTCAGTGTTGGCACCGCCTCCACCTGTGCGGAAGACATCAGTCTCATTCGTTCTCACACACAAATGGTACTGCCCTGATTGATGCCAGTGTAAAGTTCAAAGCCTTAGGCAAACAATTCTTACATTTACGTTTATTTATTGGACATACAGATTTGGTTGATCAAGCATTATTACTTTACAAGGAATTTTTACTTGAATTTCTTTAATAGTTAGTCGTGGTTGTTTTCAGATATCCATCTCAAAACTTCCATAATAGCCTGTAAGACTACATTCCAACTGCGGGTGGTTTGCGGTCTGTGCAATTCATGTAAAATGTGGAAAAGATTAGCTCAGACAAGGGAACCAAAGAGCTGAATGATTTCTCTCTCTAAAATGCACCGATTACAATAAAATTCAGGAAGGTCAAGAAAATAGCAGAGAAATATCCGCCTAAAGCAGCTTTAAATTCAAGTAGTACTTGTTATGAAAATAAAAGATATGGCTTACCTTGGTTTAATAAGGTTTTAGGTCACTATTTAGGTTTTACACCAGAATCATTTCTTTTTTTTATGTTCTTTCACTCACATTTTTATTAGACCATTATTTGCTGATACAGTGAGATGTTTTTAGTAGAGAAGTCCTTTATTTGTTCTCCAAGTATTTGACACCGCCCTCAAGAGGTCATAAGATGTTTACACGTGTGTATAGACAAACTATGTTCAGCCCTGAAGTCTTCCACTGAAAAACAAAGTCACTCATTGGCTAATAGTTTAGAAGAGAAAGGCAAGCCTTGAAAAATGAAAGGTTTAAAGATAAATCTTAGATATCACAAACAATACTTTTGACATGCTTTGTTATGAATTAGTTTGAGTCTTTCATCCTAAAGACAAAATCAGATTTACTAATCATTTTGATGTCTTCTTTACTCTGTTAGCCACGGACCCCAAGTGATGCCCGCCGTTTCTACACAGGCCGACCGGTCCACCTGGACAAGATGCTCATGAGCAAGGTGAAGGTGCCCCACACGTTTGCTGTTCACTCGTACACACGGCCAACAGTGTGCCAGTACTGCAAGAGGCTTCTGAGAGGGCTGTTCAGACAGGGTTTACAATGCAAAGGTGAGTGTAGACCAACAGTGACTTATTGCTGCTCATCTGCCGAGTTGCAGAATATCAGATCTTCTTTAACTTTGTTGCGTTGTTCTCAGATTGCAAGTTCAACTGCCATAAGCGATGTGTATACAAAGTTCCCAATGACTGCCTTGGGGAAACAATTGGAGGTGAGGCTTCACATGAGTCAGCTGCGTAAAGTGTTTATTATTCTCATAAACCTGCATGTATTTGATTACGTACGTCCTACGCTTGTCAAAACTAATAACCATACATGTTTGCATTGACGTAACAATAAAACTCACTGGCACTAATCTCTCTATCTTCTCAGACAACAGAAGTAACTCCGGTAAGTATAAGTGGCTCTCTGTACAGGTGCATGCAAAGCTGTTCTCTTACAGCTCTTTACATGGACCGGGTGATGGTTTTTGTGGCTATTGCAGAGAGTAGTGATATCTTTACACAGAATTCCAGACGTATGCACTTAAATTTAAGCCACACTCAACTCCTTCTCCCATTTCTTGTTGCCTCAGACATGCTGAGTCCCAGTACAGACCCTGAGGTGCCAATGGACTACAGCAGTGAGTACGACGCCTCGGACAAGTCTTCAATGGACGACTCAGATGAGGCCTGCAGCATCCCTGGGTCCTTCTCTCCGGACAACAACCAAGATGGAACCAACGGAGACCAAAGGTATTAGACCATTCATAACAAGATGGACTTTCTTTGTAATTTATCAGAGCTCAAAAATATCTACAAAAAGTGTGTGAAAAGATAAACCCCCTTCAGTACTAAGTACCATTCAAACCAGTTAGTTAAAACCATGGGTAGCTTTTTAATGACAGACGATAAACAGACCAAGAAACCAACACAGACTTCCAGTTCATTTGCACTAAAATATACTTTGGGTTATAAGGGTTAAATTCACCCCAGGGGCCTGCAGCCCACCCAATATATATAATCTATATCACCATAACCGATATTTGAAAATCGAGAAAAAATTTTTTTATGTGCATGATTTCTTTTAAATAAATGAAACTATGCAGGTTTGAGTCTGTCTAATATTAGAGATGTAGCTTAATAAAAAAGAATATACAAAAAGAGTTAAATATTAATTGTGATGTCATATTCTGTTTTCTTTCCATAACCATGGCACATTGACACAAAACACAATGATTTTGGCTCAGTGTCTTCAATTAATGTTTTTTTATTAAGGAAAGAAAGTATAGATGAATATTCAAAATTATGCTCACCTATTGTAGATGATTTTTTGCTCCTCAGAGCATCTTTTTATCGGTCCTGTTAGACTATGATCCTCACACAGGACTGCAGACTGTTTGTCTGCTTGGCCAGTACAACAATTCCATTTTATGTACTTCATGCTTTAAAAAAAACTGTTCACAGTATCTTGATCCAAATATGGACAAAACTCAGACGGCACACTTCTGTATGTTTAGGTACATGTCAGGCTTACCATCCATCATTCTAATTATATTTGTCCACACAGAATAAAACACTCTATTTTCCTCTACCACCTCTCTTTTCTCAGTGGGATCAGGAGGGGTGCACCCACAGGATATGATGCATACTTCAGTGGATGAAATATTAACAGATAAAGAAATTCTGTCCTTCTTTTGTAGTGTTTACATCCCACTAATGAGGGTGGTACAGTCAGTGAGACAGACAACCAGAAGGTCCAGCACAGCTATCAAGGAAGGATGGATGGTTCACTACAGCAATAAGGACACACTGGTAAAAAAAACGACATTCATTCTCAGCTCTTCCACTGAATAAGAATACATCAGTTGAGATATGTGTATGAGCTTTTTTCATTTCCTTTACTTCCCAGTCCCTGAGAAATACAAAAAAAAGCCATGAATTCATTTTATTAGTTCAGCAGCTTCTCTGACAGCAGATGTGAGCTTGGGCACTTTTCTTTTTCTGCCTTTATTGCTCCTCTTGTTTATTTTAATCTGAATGTTGGGTTTGGAATATGTGCTCTGTGTGTATGTGTATGGAAGAAAAATCTGGGGAGTGATGATGGAGTTGACTTTCTCTGACAACACAATCACACTCAGCGTTTATACGGTGCATTCCGTCTTTCTCTGACTTTTCTATCCCCTAATATTTAAAAACTATTTTGACCATGAAAAAAACCTCTGTTGCCCTCATAGTGTTTTTTAAAAGGATCTCTGGGTGACTGCAGTAACTCTCTACTTCTTGCTTTCCTGTTTCCCACCTTCTTCTTTCCCTTTTTTTCCTCCCTTGCATCCTGCAGCTTGAACTCTCACTCATCCGCCTATTCCTTTGGAATTTTACTGCTCTGTACTCGTCGCGCTCCTCAGCATCCTGTCTTACCTTTGTTGTTCACTCCTATCCCACCCAACTCCCCAACAGAGAAAGAGGCATTACTGGCGTCTGGACTGTAAGTGCATCATCCTTTTCCAGAATAACACCACAAACAAATACTACAAGGTGAGTCCAAGCTCCGATGACAAGACACACATGTATATGTATGTATGCACCCCTGTTTTTTCTCACCGACTCCTGCGTGCACTTCCAGGAGATCCCCCTGTCTGAGATCCTGGAGGTGCGTCCTGCTAGTGACTTCACACTAGTCCCACAAGGCACCAATCGCCACTGCTTCGAGCTTATCACCGGCACCATGTGCTACTTTGTAGGGGAGGACCCCAACACCCTCCCCACCGTGTCTCCCAGCAATCCCCAGACCGCCCCTCAGACCCCCCCCTCTCCAAGTCAGGTGGCGCCCAACAGCGGAATTGGTCGCGAGGTGGCAAAGGCATGGGAGTCTGCCATTCGCCAGGCGCTCATGCCGGTCATCTTTCAAGATGCTCCACCGGCTGAGGGCAAAACGCCTCACAGTGAGTCCAAAAATATTTTGTTAACTAGATATGGGACCTTTAGAGTAGGCAGATGTTCTTTCCCGAGTTTAACATGTTGATCTGCGTTTAAGCAGGCTCATTGGTAAACAGTGCACATGACATACTGTTTAGACAGATTCTGAAATGGAATCCCACATTTCAGTATTTTTCATACTATATAACCCGTAACCTTTTGTGTGTGTGTGCTTTTTATTAGGACAAGCCTCTATCAGCATCTCTGTATCCAATAGTCAAATCCAAGAAAATGTGGTAAGACTTTATTTGTCTTAGCAGTGTCTCTCTGTCTGTGAGGGCAATAAGCCTGTTGTTGACTGAAGGGGGTTTTCCTTTCTTACAGGACATTGGGACTGTGTATCAGATTTTTGCTGATGAAGTGCTTGGATCTGGACAATTTGGAGTAGTTTATGGAGGTATGTAAAACTAGGTGATGATGACTGAGATGTAGATTTGCTGTATTTCGAAACAGTAAACAATATGTTTTGGGATTCAAAAATGTAAAAAGTAAAATAAAATCAAGATCTGTCATATTACTGAAGAACTCCCTTTGAGCTATTTAGTCACATCTCCTAATAAAAGGACCATTTTTCAGGAAAGCACAGGAAGACAGGGAGAGATGTTGCCGTAAAAGTGATCGACAAACTTCGATTTCCCACCAAGCAAGAAAGCCAGCTGAGGAACGAAGTGGCAATCCTACAGGTAAATACACACATCTGAAGGCTGCGTTCCATGACAGCAGCTTATTTTTCAGGTGATAAACTTTCATAGTTGACAATGGCAAAAAAACTAAACAAAATTGCAGTCTTTTTAGTCCCATTTTGTCCCATTTGTCTTTAAAGCAGATGATGATTTGTTGGCATTTAGCTAGGATATATAATCCAGCATTTGAGGAACGTTTTACAACATTTTATGTAATTTGAAATGTTGAGAAAAAATGCCATTGAGCAGGTAAAAAATCAATTCAGAAGTCTGAACCAGAGATATAAAAGAGGAATGAACAAATCGGGGATTGTCTTAAAAAAGAAAGCAGAAAAATGGGACTGTAATGTTTACTTACAGAGGAATAAGAATGTATTAGATGTATTTTGGGTTAATTAGTGCACTGATCATTATTCTACAGCAGATGGAGACAGAGACTCAAAAGTCTCTAAACTGGTTAACAGACCTGAATCACTGTACTGTTCCCCTTATACTGCAAACTACAGCACCTTAACATTTACAGAATTCAGTTAAAATATATCTTAAGAATAACCCTTTCTGATAAAAAGATTAATTGGAATGATGATTTAAGGAAAAGATTAAGGTAATTCTGTAGTTTTAACTGCAGTACTCCTCATTTTACTGGCCGGCCTCCTGTTTCCCTGCTGCAGTCTCTTCCTGTTGACGTTGACTGTTGCTATTTCTTTCTTCTTCCCACTTCAGTCCTGTTCTGTGTTACTGTTCCCCTCTCTCAGATCATTATGTATTCTCTGAATTTTCACACGGACTGTGTCAATACTTCTCTCCTGCAACTTCTCTCTTCTTTTGTTTCAGAGCACACTCAAATATTTCCCCATCTTTTATTCACCTTATCTCTCCGCTGTGCAAAATTTTCAGAGCTTACGTCACCTCGGCATCGTGAACCTGGAGTGCATGTTTGAAACCCCAGAGAAAGTTTTCGTGGTCATGGAGAAGCTTCACGGTGACATGCTGGAGATGATCCTTTCCAGCGAAAAAGGCAGATTGCCCGAGAGGCTCACCAAGTTCCTTATCACACAGGTGTGTGCATGTACGGAATCTGTTTGTAGCATTCCTTTTGACGTCTTATGTTTCAGTTTTTAAGTGCATGCACGTGTGGGAGGATGTTCTCCCGTTTCTTAAGAAAACAGTATTGCGACATACATACACCGTTTCAGTTTTCTCTAAGTAATATCCTGTCAGTGGGCTTGTGGTCATGTGTTTTTGTGGATGTGCTTGCGTAGATTCTTGCCGCTCTCAGACATCTGCACTTCAAGAACATCGTTCACTGCGATCTGAAACCTGAGAACGTCCTGCTTGCCTCTGCAGATCCTTTCCCACAGGTACAGATATGTACGCGAACATATTGTAAGACACGTAAGACACACAGGAAAGCGACAGTGGTAATTGTAGATATCACACACAGAGGATATTAGATCACTTGATTTGTTGTTGCGAATATGTGTCTCTCACATCTTTTTCCTTTTTATAAAAATGTCCATTGTTTCTATAGTTTTCCTATTTAATCTTCATGTCTAATGATACCACCTCTCCTCTTCTTTATTGCCCTTCTATGGTTTCTCCTCTCAGGTGAAGCTATGCGACTTTGGCTTTGCTCGAATCATTGGCGAAAAGTCTTTTCGTCGCTCTGTGGTGGGCACGCCTGCCTACCTGGCACCAGAGGTTCTGCTGAACCAGGGCTACAACCGTTCGCTGGACATGTGGTCAGTCGGTGTCATAATGTATGTCAGTCTCAGTGGGACCTTCCCCTTCAATGAAGATGAAGATATCAATGATCAGATCCACAACGCGGCCTTCATGTACCCTCCCAATCCCTGGAAGCAGATCTCAAAAGATGGTAAAATAGCAGGAAACACAGAGTTCTGTTATTAAAGTCATGTTCTTTAATTTTTCTTACACCAGTTCAGCTGGTAAGATTTTAAATGTTAGAAACCCATCTTTGTATTACACAATATAAATACCTGAATAATTGTTATTAAATACGAAATGATGTTGGCGACAAACTATAAACTCAGTGTCAATGTAGATAAAATGAAGCTCAACAGAGCAAAAATGAAGGAGAAAAATGACATGACTTTAATAAGTTCAATTTCCAAATTCAAAATAATACTTAATCATCTAAATTCACCTGTAAAGTGGTTTTGATGCGGCTTTTGACTGTAACATATCGCTTTGTGCTTTTTTCCTGTTTCCAGCCATCGATCTGATTAACAACCTGCTGCAAGTTAAGATGAGGAAACGCTACAGCGTGGACAAAAGTCTCAGCCATGCATATTTACAGGTAATGCAAATAAATTAGTAGTGTGCACTCAAATGTACCCAGTGCGCATGCATATTCATGAAAAAGGAAGATGGCCTGCTTCTGGTTGTTTACCCAGCCCACAATTAAGGATAAGAGATGCAGACCCCTCTCCACAGACACTTTCTTTGAGGCAAAGCAAAAGCTTAAGACCTTGAGATCATCTCATTAAAATCTACACCAGACCTGGAAAATGGAAAAATTACAAACGAGCAGCATGAATCCTGGTGGAGGCTGGGATGCACACATTCAAACCAGATTGCGGAAATGAGCTAAGATTAGCCAAAACAGCATTACTGTATGTGTACTCAGTCTTAATTGACCTCAAAACAACCACTGCTAGGAGTGGAAAAACAGTCTAGATATCTCTAAATATTCAGTCCATCCCAGTAATTTATTTCTTTGAATTATTTGAATTATTGTAATAAATATGTCAAATCATGATTTATACTTCAACGGTGGCCCTTACTGGATAGATGAAAACCCCCCCAAAAACAGAAGGTACAATAGAAATCCTCCAATTAGGCCCTATGAGCTGAAACGGAATCCTCATGCTTATCGGTTAATTTCCCAGGACTACCAGACGTGGCTGGATCTGCGGGAGCTGGAGACGAAACTTGGCGGGCGTTATATCACCCACGAGAGCGACGACAGCCGCTGGCAGATGTTTGCCCGGGATCACACCTTGCCATACCCCGCTCACCTGGTGCCCCCCCCCCCTGCGTCGGCCTCCGACGACGAAGGCGGGGACGATGCAGACATGCAAGGCCTGACCGAAAGGGTCAGCATTCTCTGACCACGTGGGACGGACACCGGACTAATTTAGATATGCAATGGTGCATGCTGCGATTGACCCAGACTCTGAATCCACAGGCGGCTGCAGAGAATCCTACGATTCTGACAAGAAGAACTCCCGGAGGTGTAGATTTTTCACGCGCAGAATCTGCCGTGTGCCAGTTTTACTGCAATAAATCCAGCATCTTTCTTTCAGCCAGAGGGTCCCAGCACTTGTGAAATTTACCGCTGCCTTTATGTCTTCTTTCATCTTTTAAATGTGGAATTCTTTTTTTACCAAAAGGCTGTTCACTCATTCTTTCTCTGTTGACGCGATACAGCAGGTTTAAAGTTAAAGTCAAATTTTAACCCTTCATATTCGTGAAAATGAGTAGAAGTGTCTTAGTTTTCTTTCTTTGCAACACAACTCAATGTTAAGCAAGAAATTAGCTTTTTCACTGCAAGCTGAGGTCTGCAAGTATGCTTTTTTCCTCTTCTGCAAATAGTCATGCATAAATAAATGTCCTTAATGTATGCCCTCTATTAATTTCTAATACAATTCTCACCGTATCTTACAGTGATAAAGTTCATCCTCTGTGCTGGTAATTACAAAGATGACTGAGTGTTACTGAGTGAGCTATTTGTTTTCTCAAATGTATTCCCATGAATGCATGTTCTGCAGTGTCCTAAAAACTGGAAGTATTGATCTGCCAAAAAGCTAATCTGCCAATAATTACCTATACTTCGAATCTCCGGTGGAGTCCTTGAAAATATGTGCAATTAAAGATGACAGTGTGGCTTTAAGTGAGGTCTAGAATTGGGTTATTCATTACCTTCCATTATAAAAACCTTTCCTTTATTTGCCTAACAATTCCACCGGCACCTGCAGCTTGAGCTTCAGTCGCATTTTCTATGTGAAAATTGCTCCCATTGTGCTGAAATGCTAACTCTGATCTGTTTCTTAAATCAAGCTGTTCCTTGCAGCGATGACTAATGTTTCTTCACAACTAACTGTATTATACAATAATTCACAGGCCGAGGAGTGGACATGTTGCAGTTGGTTGCTAAGTGCTTCGATGAACAGCTTGGATCCCTAAACTAGATTTTTATGTGTATTTAGTTCAGTTATTGACTATCTGTCCTATGTAGCATGTTTCTTTGTAGAATCATCCAGATATGCCATTGAATGTGTTAAGATGTTCTTTAATAAAAACTTGTAAGCTGCCGCTGTCAAATATGTGTAGACTGTGTGCTACATGCTTGAATGATGATTCTGATCTTTATGACATATATTACCAAAAGAATTAAAGAGAGTTCTGTTAGTTTTGAATTATTTACGCTCCCGCCCGTAAATATTTCCAGCATTCCAAGGATCAGCCAGAATCTGAAATCACGACTAAAAGTGTTTTTTCATTTTCTCCGCAATTTATTCCAGAATAATTGTCACTCAAAGTTTCCGTGACTTTTTGCTCCCTTTGAAAGGGAAATAAGAAAACTGCTAGGGCCAATTGCACAGCAGCAATAAATGACTTCTTACCTCACGGACTGCTGGACAGTTATATTTCCCTCTCTGAAAAAGTGCACATTTTTCTTTGGGCCTGTTGTAATTTCTGTTTGGACATACAGACATCAGAGCCTGAGCACGGCTCTCATTTAGACCCGAACACATAAATAATAGAAGATATGATGGCCTATTGAATGTGTTTTTAGATATTTTCTTTTATAATGTAGTCAACCTGAAGACAGAGTGGCCCTGACGACGTGCCTGTGGCCTTTGAAGAGGATAGTAATTTGTTTTCCATTCTACAGAAGATGCACTTCTGGTTAAAATGCACCTTTTTTCCTGCTTATTTCAACCATCAATGCCAAAGTATATGTTTTTCTCTCTTTATGTCTCATTTTGCCTCTTTACCATACCATACCTTTCAAAGATGTACATTTTTGTATCTGTACTTTAAGCCATGTCTGGGAGATCCTCATCTTGCCAATTTTGGAACCGGAAATTAATTTGACTTTTTTTGCCTCATTTGATTCCCTGAAAATATGTCAGTCAAACAAGAAGAGGATTATCATTATTTTTATACAAAAAGTCTCATTAACAGAAATATATTACAATGGCTTTCAAAATGACCAAATCACTGTTTTATTCACGACTGAATATATAAAATAAATGTCAGAGGTGGAACATAGTTATGCCATTAAAAGTATTTTTAAACTTAGAGTTAAGAGCAGCCATCATATCTAAAAAAGGCTGGACCAGAGGCAGCAAAGACGTGAACATGAGAAATCAAGAAATACATTAGAACTGCTGTATAATCTGAAGGATCTAAATACATCTAAAGCTTATTATTACAAAAGAAAAAAGGGATCTTCACTCAAGTTAATGCCTCTTGAAGTGTTTTTTTTTTTCAGATTTAGTTAAAGGTCCAAATAAAGCCTTAAAAACTATCAATTTACTATTGCATCAGGCTTCTAAGGGTTAAAGCTTAATATAGGTTTTAGACTGATGCTTCCTGACAGGAAGCACCTGCAAGTCTTCATATAGAGTAAGTCTGGTGTTGCATGCTGCAGCTCTGCCTGAGAAGAGAAGCCCTATGCATGCATACAACATCCACCATGCCAGTTGATTACAGCCAGCAGGAGCAATTCAGTTTCTTCCATGGTTAGCCAACAAGTTATCTGTTTCAATAATGTCTGTGCAGGAAAAGAGATATTCAAATCAAAATTCAATTTCCTGTTTACTGAAGTTGTCAGGATTGTCAGATTTACCATAGAGATAAAATCGCACCACAAATGTTTGCTCTTAAAAAGCACCTTTTACCCTTTCCAGAATGTATGAAGTGCTCTTAAAAATGTTATACTTAATGTTATGAGGAAAGGGTCGAGGGGGACTGGAGCTGATCCCGGCTGTCATTGGGTGACAGGCCCCGTTCACATTGGGCAGGTTTCCTATGGTGATGTGGAAATGCTGCAAAGCATTGGTTTGTTGGAAAAAATCATTAACTGTGAGTATAATAATATTGTCTGCGTGATCAATGAAAACCTGTGTCTGTTAAGAAATCTGATCATAAATGTACGGATTAATCTTATCTGTTCAAACATGAGAAAATGAGCCATCCAGTGCTCAGATCACTATCCCCGACCTATTCACACATCTGATCTTAAATGTTGTTGTAAATTTATTCAATGTGGTAACCATTCCGTACACCTAAACTGTAAGCAGTTTGTTATACATTTAGTAAATACACATGCATGACGTTGTTTACCATCTGTGCTACTTCAGCTTTACACTTGCACTGAAAAAGAGCTGATCCTGTTCACAGTGAGGGATGCTGTCTACGCTGTGAAACTAAGTGTGGAAGAGCTGTGCCTAGCCATACTGCAGTGCCAGATATAGTGCCCACCATTTAAAACAGGCTAAAAGAAAAATGCACTGATTTTCTTGCATTTCATAGTAAAATAGGATTTATTTTTTTTGTCAAAGGTCAACTGATATTTTGCTCAAAAGCCCTGCTTCTTTGTTCAGTATCAATAAATGATTTTTGTTTCTGTGTTTTGACATTGTAACAAGGTTTCTTAGCTTCTGAAGTCTGGTTCTTATGTATTTTTTGTCAAATGTTTGAGCCTCACATTTTGCTTCCTGTCATATTTTCTGGGGCTTGGCTCTTTGTAGGTTATTTTTGTATTACTTCCTTTACTTCAGGCTCATCTGGTCCGCATTAACTGTTTGAAACACACCTGCAATGCATTTGTCATTGCGTTCCCCCTCAGTATGTATTCTGCTTGGATTCCTTTGCTCTCTGCCAGGTCCTTGTCATCACTGTGGTTTCTTTCCCCCTGTCAGTTGGCCTCCTGTGTTTAGTTAGTTTTGGATATTCTGTCCCTGTGTTCCCTGCATTGGCAGCAGTTTTTGTTTAGTTTGAGTAAAGCTCGAGTCACCAGAGCCTGATGGTTTCTGCCTGCTTTACCTCTGCATTTGGGACTTCCACCTCCGCTCAACATGCATCATGATATAGTTACTTAAGCTTCTAACTTTTGAAAAGTCATGAAAAACATCCACACACATCCAGCCCAGTAAAGGGCACTCACAAAGGCAATGGAGAGTAAGTGCAAAACGATTCAGCACAAGCTGTTATCTGTGCTAATGTCAAAGAATAGAAAAAATCAGACTCATCCTAATAGCCAGATGATTTTTGGAGTGGCATTCTCTGAGGAGGTAAATAAAAGATCTACTTGTGATGAATAATGAATGATAGGAGGATATTGGGATACTGGAATCCCCAGAAATACTGAAATAGTTTATCAAATGACATTGTAGTTTCCAGAAAATATGCTGCCATCTTCATTTTCAAGATGACACTTCAGGGGTTAAAATTGAAGGAGCTTTATTAGCTCTCTTTCATTTATTTATTTTATTATTATTTTATTATTATTTTTTTCTATTTATTATTCATCAATTTTCACTTTGCATAACATGACTACAACTTGAAAGCCACAGACACACATATACAGTACCTAAAGGGCCACAATAAACACCATGCCGCATTCATTGTGGATTCAATGATAATCCATATCTTAAAGCTGAGACATGTTGCTCGTCCTTTAGGAGCAGCCTGGGACATGTTTATTCATCACGACAGAGGCACAGGGAGGTAGCTGAATTCAAATTTATGCAGCAAATCTACTTGACAGTGCTTAATAACAGATGGAGAATATTCCATTATCGTGAAGTTTTGATTGTAAAGAAGATTAATTTGTTGGGTTGGTTGGATCAATTAGCTAAGCACAGCCCAACTCTGCTGCATGTCAGTCAATAGAGGCAAAACTAAAGGCAGAAACTGCCACAAAGTGTAAAGCAGCAAATATCAAGAATCACACCATCATTATCAGGAAAATGTTTTTGAAAAAATCCTTTGATTTGAACTTGCCATTTAGTTAACTTACATGTGATTCCCTGAAACAGAGTGTTCGACACGAACACGAAAAGATGTGCCGTAATTTCTAAATGCCTCCTTTAATTAA